CCCAAAAAAACAAAAACGTAGCTGTTTTAGAGCTCGAGTTATTCACTGAGGAGGCTTTCAGTAAAAAACACAACTCTCTGATGGATCATTTATCACTCATGGCATAACAAACCAGCCTGTCTATATGTTAACATCACTTGTTTGGTAACAGCAAAGAGCACAGTTTGGCAATCGCAGGATACATGCTGGTAAAAGAGGAACCATTCACTGCTTCTGTATTGAGTTTATTCCTGCGGACAGTGGCCTCATAGGCCATGTCCAGACATGAGCCGTCTGAAGGACACTAACTTCATTTGCTCTTTTAACATCTTCACCTTCTCCCTCATTCATATGCTTTAGATCAAGATGACAAGAAATCTCCTTTAAGTTATTACAATGTTAAAATCATTTACAGTCATCATCTCCAACTTAACCTATCGATCATCAGATCACACATTACATTTTAAGAATAATTACTTCAAATTGTAATCATTCAGTCATCAGGTCACAGCATTTCTTATCATAGAGTCTTTTTTATTGCTTACTTAGAGCCAGTGTTCTTTGTCAGTGGCTGCTTCTGGGATCTCAACCCTTAGCTCCACCTGACAATGGTCAAAGCGTATGGAGGAGTTTCATGTCATGCTGTTTACATTCTGTTGCAATCTATGCATGCAGATTTTTACACCAAATCTGCATGCAACTGTCCATGTCCTGAAACTGACTGTTCATGTCAAATAAAAGTTTACATTCATTGAAGAAACTGTTTCCTAACTCAGTTTGTTTAAGGAGAGTTTTCTATATGACTTGTATTTCTCTCAGCCTCCACTATTGCTGAGCTACAGGTTTGTTTATCTCTGTAAATCAGAAGGTTACATGCAAATCAGCTTATCAAGAGTATTATATCGGCTGTATACATGAGATCAGCAAGAATGTGAGTTCAGGCTCCACCAAACTAGACACGGGACAGTCAGACGGGTAAGAAGTGGATGTGAAACTGAGAGAATGAAGTCGGGTGTGATCAAGGGAGGCAGAGTGTCCCTGAAAATACTGCTGTCGTAGTAAAAGGTTGTAGTTGTGTAAAAATGTTACAGAAATTTGGTAAATGTAACATACAGACAATCACACTGACCCATCATGTATCTGTGTTTCCTTCAGGTCACGCTGTCAGCATGGGGATAGTTTTAGGAATTGTGGCTGAAGCAGTTGCAGCAGCAATAGCAGCTGCAGCAGAGGCTGCAGCGGCTGCAGCTGCAGAGGCAGCAGCGGCTATAGCAGAAGCAGCAGCGGAGGCAGCAGCAGCAGCAGCGGAGGCTGCAGCCGAGGCTGCAGCGGAGGCAGCAGCAGATGCTGCAGCAGAGGCAGCAGCGGAGGCAGCAGCCGAGGCTGCAGCAGAGGCAGCCGCTGAAGGTGGAGCTGAAACCATAGCTCAAGTTTTGCAAGCAGTTGCCAAACTTTCCAAATTAGTTAAAGAGTTTTTGGCTATTGATGCCGTCTTCAAGGCTGCAAAAGAACTCATAAAAAGCCTCATTTATGTATTTGGTGCACATGAAAAATGTGAGAAACTGGAGAAGTGTCTTCATGTGTTCACAAAGCTAATGTCCAAGATGGAAGAATTTAACAAATGGCTGCAGGAACATAAGGACGACACTGTGAAGCTTGACGGAATCGACATCCCTTTGGAATCAGGCATCCTAAACAAGTTCATGAAACCACTGGCAACGGTAATCAAAGGCCATTTCTTAGCTTTTTTTAAATGAAGTATTATATTGGACAAACACAAACGGTGTGTTCCAGTTCGTGGCTGTACATCCTTCTATAGATTAAGGAAAGAAATACTTTGACAGAGAGCAGTGAAAGATGTCACAGAGCATTACTTCCCTGAAGTCAATGTTTCCTTGTGAATATTTTTAAAACGTTTGCAGGGTCTATAACGGGTCTAGTTTTAGTGACGTGCTCCTGCGTGAATGGAATCAGATAAAGGAAAATGGCATCTGATCCTATTTGTGTTTGTTTTACGTATTGCGTGATGTAGCCATCAGCACCCGACCATGGAGAGACTACAACGAGCAAGTAAATCAAGTAAATATTCTGAACTGTTTGTACCATCATCTCTTTTTTTTTCCAGTCAGTGGGAACCCTGCAAAGACTGTCTGACGACGTTTCCAAAATGAACACGAAGGGGCAGATGATGGCGGATGCGCAGCTGACAACTTTAAAGAGAAGCCTCATCCGCATCGTGGCAACGTTTGAGTCGATTGCCCAGTACAAGGACGAGAAGGGCGACAAACTCCCCGTGTTAAAAACACTCCCGATCAGCATGGACGAAGTGAGGGAGTGGAGGGAGGACATCGGTTGCCCAGAGGATTCTCTTATGTCTTTTTTACAGTTGCACACATATGAGTGAGGCTCTGTTCAGGGAAGCAACAGTGCATCAAAGGCTTTTCGTCAAACACCATTTGCCTGATGTCATTTATGTCCACAGAGCAGAAGTGATTCGTTGCTCCTCGTGAATAACGCATTGTGCTTCCACAAATTTTACAGCATTACAAATTTTTTAAAAAGCTAAAATGTCAGTGTTGTAAACGCACAGATGAAATTCTCTTGGTGAGCAAGTGAGAGTTCATTCTTTCACTTTAGCCTTTTCCTGCTGTTGCTAACTTTGAAATCGTGGGTTTAGTTACTTTTTTAGGCCTGACAGAGAAAAGCAGCATTTGAAAAAACAAAAATACAACCCAATCCGCTTCAGTAACGTCAGGCCTCAGTTGTTCTGTAGTGCGCTATGCATGGGAACTGTTTCCGCTGTCTTTTACTGCACTGTGCTGACAACACTGATTAAATCTTTGCATAATAAAAGCATTTATTTTACATTTGCTGTCTGCTTGTTAGTAAAAGCACTGAGAACCATCCACTGTGACAAAGATTATAATTGATCTCCTTAGTAATAAGTAACGAGCAATATAAGCAACAGTATGAGGCCCCTGTTCTGTTTGAGCTCTCGTTTTCCCTCCTGAGTTTCTCGGCCAGTCCACAGANGTCCAGGTGAACCTGCCTTCACCCTGAGTCAGCTGGGATAGACTCCAGCCCCCCATGACCCTAGTGAGGATTAAGTGGTGTATAGATAATGGATGGATATGACTGATGCAGCTGCTTATTTCCAACTGACAGCAGCACGTTAAAGTTAAACTTTAAACTTAATATATCTAAACCTGACCTTGTATTGAAGTGCATTTCAGTCTGACACTGTCCCATAATGGAGGATATTAGTTTAATTTTTGGTCAAATTGAAGCGAAACTAATGTCATTGATTGAATATTCTCTGTAATAAATACCAGTCGAATAATCCGTTTTCTGTGTTTTACCAGCTGCAGTGGCAGCAAATCAGAGCCAAACATAAAAACATATTTATATGACTTCTGCATCGCCAACTAAATACCTGTCTGGTTCCCGCGGCAACGCAATGCATACAGTGTGTGATGCTGTAACTACACGGCTTCATTCAGTGATATTAGTAACGTACAACTCAGCATGTTTTCCAGATAAAACACATTCCCTCAGCTGAGAATCTGTATCGCTCATAAAGAATAGTCAGGAAACGATCTGGTTAAATGGAGACGCTCTTTCCAGCTGATTTAAATCCTAAACTCTGCACATAACCTGCTCCTGACCAGGTTAGCTCCACAGCATCAGTTACCATGGAGATCTAGGGCTGCAGCATCAGTTACCATGGAGATCCGGCTCCACACCATCAGTTACCATGGAGATCTAGGGCCACAGCATCAGTTACCCTGGAGATCTAGGGCCACAGCATCAGCTTCCATGGAGATCTAGGGCCACAGCATCAGCTTCCATGGAGATCTAGGGCCACAGCATCAGCTTCCATGGAGATCCGGCTCCACACCATCAGTTAACATGGAGATCTAGCCAGTTTTAACCTACGTGACACTGAGAACTCTGACTTTAAGCTCAACGTACCTCGACCCACTAACCCACTAGCATCGTTTCGTACTACAGTCCTCTGTTCTGGTCGTGACGAATCTGCGAACCGAACATCTGGAGAGTAAATACAGCGAGCATCTCCCGTTAACCCGGATCAGCGGCTGTACCGGATGTGTTTTCCCTGCTCACACACCGAGCAGAAAGTGGCATAAAGGCGTAAAAAGGAAGAGGATTCCCACCAAACTGGGGTGAGTCCCTGTCGCCACTGTCCCCCACAAGCACTTAAAAAGTTTAGTTAAAAAGACTGGTGGAAAAAACAAACACTAAAAAACAGCCACACCAGCACCGGCACACACTTACACACTGACCAGCGTCACCCCGACACTAACTGGCAACAATTAGGGCTTAAATTCTCTTCTACATTTACCTGAAAGCCAGCGCAGAGATCTAAGAGCTGTAAAACTTGAGCTTGAGCCACATTATTGTTGACACTTGGTTACAGTGCGTGGACCTGCCGGGGAGCGGTCTTGGAACTACCGTAAGTCCTCAACTATTCGCGCATGAGAGCCAATTCAAACGCCATGTAAATGAAGCGAAGACGCGCTTTACGGGGATATGCGGGTTATTACGGTACGTCATTGGGGTAATGACCAAGCACAGGCCAGAGCTGATACACACCAGAGCAGACAGAGAACAGGAGCTGCTTTTATAGCACACAGGCCCAAACACACCCTCTGCATTAGTAAAACATTAATTCACGCTATATGGAAAACCGACAGAGCAAGACTCATCAACTTCATTGCACATACTTAATATAGTCCATATTTCAATTTTTTGCCGTCTAATCTTTTGTCTATGTTCAATTCCAGCCTGTAATTCACGAAAATCCTGAACAATCCAAATGCACTTTTTGTTTCAGTTTAAATAGTTGATAAATTCATGTCTTAACACACATTTTGTGCCACATATTGAAAGCTTAGGGTTTTCTGAAAAAAAAAGAAAGGCAAAAGCAATCACTCACAGTATGATTTCTGACTCTTTTGCTGTGGAATCACAGGAGTGGCATAATGATTAAAAAATAATGTTAAAAAATAAGGAAATTCATGTGTAAATATAAAGAGGAATAAATAAAAGAATAATTTAAAAAAAACATATGGAAATATAAAGGTACATTTTGTCTTTGCTTTTCCCTTTTTTCCCCTTTTGTTTTTCTATTTTGTTTTTGTTTTTGTTTTTACTTGATGGACTGAGCTGTCAATCAAATGGCTTTGGGCGGGGCTTTCTGTCCAAGGTGAGTGGTCAATACCTGATCACAGGATTCCTGCTTGGCGCCAGCTCCTGCTGAAGGGAAGTGATGTCACCTCGGCGCTGAGAGGAAGTCCACATGCGCACGCAGTTTGACTGGAGAGGAGGAGAAATAAATATGGAATATGTGGAGGAATGAAGGAGAGGTGTTTAAGAAGAGCTTTTAACAATTGTGCACTTCCTCTCAGCGATTTAGTTTTTATTATGGCACTCCTGTGATTCCATATTTCACAAAATATCAACAACAAACAAAGGTCCAGGCGGCCTGTATGATCTCGTATAAGTAACCAATGGTTTGCCCTTTTTATTAAGGCGCCCCCCCACTGGTGTTCCACAACATGCCCATGTATGGTCCTGCTTCTGAGCAGGAAACAGATACAGACTGAGTCACCAAACATTGAAACTAATCATACACTTTTCAAAAATCCTCCTGTCCACATCATGTTTGCTGTTTTAATTCTCCACCCCTTTCCTGCATTAGCCATAAAAACTCAGGACTGAGAGTGCTGCTCAGCAGTTTGTCCACAGATCGTCTCTGTGCTGCCTACCGGTCTGACGTCATCTGCAGAGTTCAGCTCGTGAGTACCTGAATCCGACTATCTCCCTGACACACAAGCTCTGCTTCTGTCTCAGTTGTGTCTTTCTGTAGCCACTGTGATAAACATGGGTGTGTTTGCTTCTGAAAACTCACTGAGGATGTGTTTTAATGTTTCCAGAAAAGAATACAAAAGACAAATGATATTCCACCTGCTGGGTTCATTGCTATCCCAGTTTTCAGGAGCCAATCAGGCATGTTTTTATATCAGTAATAATACAGTCAATCATGCATTTAGTGTGTAAGTGCATTCTGTGACACCCAAAGCGGCGTCGCATAAATTACAAACTATTAAATAAGTAATGCAACAATACAAGTCACAGAAAAACCACAGCAGCCGAACAAAGCCGCCTGACAGGTTGAACCGTTCACCAGAAACTGTGTTTGGAGGAGTCTTGCATAACTCCTGTGCAGTGGGGTGATAAGGAAAAGCAGAGGGAGGGATTCAGAGCGGAACTATCTGTAAATCTGCAACGCTGCTGTTCGTACTTGGCCAGAGTTGGCTCATATTTTTTAGAGTCACATGCAAATACACTAAACCTGTACGGTGGTGTGTTTTTCAAAGAGCACTGAGCAAACACCGTCACATGCTGCATTGTTACAGCTGATTGGAGAAATCCACCTCCCTACCTGAACAAGTGCTTCATTCTCCACAAAATCAACCATTTTTTGGTTCAATGGAGGTACGAACGATTGAAGAGCAAATTTGCTATGATTACTCTGGTGTTGTGAGTCAGCATACGACCATGGCGCAGCAATAAAAGCACTCCGGATTTATGTAGTTTCAGACCAAGTCATAAATCATCTAACTTTGTCATCAAATTCAACGCTGATGGATACGTGTGTGGTAAAAGAACTGGCAGCATGTTGCAAGCATATCAGCAGATGTGTTTGTCGACCCAAAAAAACAAAAACGTAGCTGTTTTAGAGCTCGAGTTATTCACTGAGGAGGCTTTCAGTAAAAAACACAACTCTCTGATGGATCATTTATCACTCATGGCATAACAAACCAGCCTGTCTATATGTTAACATCACTTGTTTGGTAACAGCAAAGAGCACAGTTTGGCAATCGCAGGATACATGCTGGTAAAAGAGGAACCATTCACTGCTTCTGTATTGAGTTTATTCCTGCGGACAGTGGCCTCATAGGCCATGTCCAGACATGAGCCGTCTGAAGGACACTAACTTCATTTGCTCTTTTAACATCTTCACCTTCTCCCTCATTCATATACTTTAGATCAAGATGACAAGAAATCTCCTTTAAGTTATTACAATGTTAAAATCATTTACAGTCATCATCTCCAACTTAACCTATCGATCATCAGATCACACATTACATTTTAAGAATAATTACTTCAAATTGTAATCATTCAGTCATCAGGTCACAGCATTTCTTATCATAGAGTCTTTTTTATTGCTTACTTAGAGCCAGTGTTCTTTGTCAGTGGCTGCTTCTGGGATCTCAACCCTTAGCTCCACCTGACAATGGTCAAAGCGTATGGAGGAGTTTCATGTCATGCTGTTTACATTCTGTTGCAATCTATGCATGCAGATTTTTACACCAAATCTGCATGCAACTGTCCATGTCCTGAAACTGACTGTTCATGTCAAATAAAAGTTTACATTCATTGAAGAAACTGTTTCCTAACTCAGTTTGTTTAAGGAGAGTTTTCTATATGACTTGTATTTCTCTCAGCCTCCACTATTGCTGAGCTACAGGTTTGTTTATCTCTGTAAATCAGAAGGTTACATGCAAATCAGCTTATCAAGAGTATTATAT